CAGTTCCATGTCCTTCTTGTGCTGAGGGCTCCAGAGCTGGACGCAGTACTCTAGGTGAGGTAGCTACTCCCTATGTGTCCTCTATTTTTATCACTATGCAGACAAGTTGTTCTGACCTTAAAATTTCAGTGTCTGTGATAGCGAATTGACTGAAACTTGGAAGGGGCTGAAATGGAAAGACATGGCAGTCTTGGGTGGTAAGTCAGGTTACAAATGGGACAATGCACATAGCCCCAGTGTTGGAGACTCCCAGCTACCAGGGATAAACAGCCTTCTGAAGAGTTAATTCAAGGAAATTACAGGAAAAAATATATACTGGGGTTTTTGTAATAGAAGAAAGAAAAATATCAAAAACATAACTTCTTCTCTCACCTAGTTTTAACTCTGTTATCTGCTACTGCAATAAAAAACATTTTCTCTTAGAAGTAATGAAAAAATCATTTGCTTCTGGTGGACAAAATAAACCTGCACTCATGTAATAGCAGTCATTCAGTTTAGATTTTTATTTCACATTTACCATTATGTTGTCTGTTTTGATACAAAATCATATCTGCACTTAAAAGGTGTGTACAATTGTTTTGTTTTGTTGCTGTATGTGGTTTTAAAGCAGTATGAGGGAAATGAAAGAAAAAAAACAAGGTCAGAATCGTAGTTTCTTATGCCCCTTTGTTCCAGTGGATAATGTGTCTCGTTCCAACCTAAAACATATGATGTTGGCACATAGCAGGATACTGCATGTCACAGTTCCCGTATTAAAATGTCATCTTTCTTATGGTTTCCAGATCTAGGCCTGTGTTCTTGAACTCAAAACAGTATTGAAGCTGGGGGCTAGGAAATACCATAAGCGTCCACCAGTCAGCAAATATGTATTCGATTATAACAAGGGGTACTACAGGTCTCTTGACTCTGTAACCCAACTCTCAGTTTTTTCTGTTTCATACCTTTCCTGGCAAGCTTGTTCTGCAGCCCTGAGGAAAATGTGTCTTAGTCTTCTCTGGTCTGTTTTATTGTTTTGTTTTGTTTTTTAACAAAACAGGAAAAGTATTCATTAAAAGTTAACACTTTATAGTTCTGTGGCTGCAATTCTAACATAGTTATACTTTGGGAGACCTGTAATTTCCAGTAATTCATATAAATGGGAAAATTAACCTTGTGATAGAGTGATTCAAGCATAAATAAAATCTCTGAAATGGCAGGGCTTGAAAAGCATATGCATTACATATTAAACTCCTTAGCTGTTATACTAATTATAAGTAATTCAGCCCCTGCCTTAACTTTCTGTTTTATGGATGTTATATGTTTTATAAACAAGTCACAAAATATTTATTGCTTAATTGCAGCATAATTACAGTGTGTTAATAGTTGCCGTATGTAATTGTGAGTTCCCGATGGGCTGCAGTGCAAGAGGTGGACCACTTCACAGAGAAGGTGGTAGATAAAAATCACTATGGCAGTAGAGCCATCAGGACTAACAGGCCAAAAGGTCTCCTTGCTTCCTGTGGTAGAAGGTATTACAAAGGGCCAGGACTGCTATACGTGCACATAATATCTTAGCCCCTGTCTGCTACCTTGCCTGTTCCTGACGCAGGAAGTATATCTGACCCTTGTCTGGAGCAGACTGGTAACCTTGCTCATGCAAAATAATATTAAGTAAAAAACTTCTTTCACCATGCTGCATTTTCAGAAGTTGTTTCACTCTCTATATATTACATACTTCACGGATGCTTAAATACAGGAAAAATATATGCATTCAGTATAGATGGAATGTTCCAATTCCATAGTTTGAACCTGTGCAAAACGCGCCACTTTTCTAGCTGTACTAAACCTTCATTTGAAACAGTTTTAGGTGGTGGAATGTTTGCAAACAGTCCAGTCTGGAGCTGCAGCCAAGTATAGGGTTGTGTCCTGCCTGAGCCCAGTTTGGCTGTGGCTTGATTTGAATATTGGATGTTTTCCTGTTGGCATTCAACATACTTTTTGGTAACCTTATTCACATTCTGATTTCTGACATGTTCATCTATTTATTTGTCGTATTCAAAGACAGGAGATGCATATTTGAACAATTCAGTCTTTCTCAGTTCTTAAAATGATATTGTAGAACTGTCTTCACAGAGATGGTAACCATACCATCTACAGAGGAGAGTGACAAAGCTGGTGAGGGGTCTGGAGCACAGGTCTTACGAGGAGCAGGTGGGGGAACTGGGGTTGTTTAGTCTGGAGAAAAGGAAGCTGAGAGGAGACCTTATCGCCCTCTACAACTGCCTGAAAGGAGGGTGTAGAGAGGTTGGGGTTGGCCTCTTCTCCCTGGTAACGGGTGATAGGACAAGGGGAAATGGCCTCAAGTTGCGCCAGGGCAGGTTTAGGTTGGACATTAGAAAAAAATGTCTTCACTGAAAGGGTTGTCAAGGATTGGACTGGGCTGCCCAGGCAAGTGGTTGAGTTTAAAAGATGGGTAGACAAGACACTTAGTGACAGGGTTTAGTGGTGGGATGGCAGGGTTAGGTTAACGGTTGGACTTGATGATCTTAAAGGTCTTTTCCAAACTAAGTGATTCTATACCTGAAATTTTTAGGACAATTAAACCTTCTCCTTTATTCTTTCCTACCTGGAAGAATATTGCATTTTATAACTTGCATACTTAAAAGCACCTAGGCTTCTTCATCCCTAAGAAAAAGGAAAATCTATTGGTCACATTTCATAAAGGCTTTTTGGAAGAATTTAGTCTTTTTCTCTTACTGTGTTAATATTAATGATGTCATGGACACCACAATCCCCATTACACTGAGGTAATTTATTTTGCCCAACCCAATGGTAGCATACAGATTTTGAAATTCAGAAGTGCTTGGGCTGGAACAGTGTTCTTAGGCCATGGTGTGTTTAAACTATATATATAATAATATCCAGTGATTTTGTTTAAAAAAAAAAAAAACCAAAACTCTGACTCAGATGTTCTGCAAATCAAATTATTTTACGTTTCAGGCCAAGATGACTCAACTACCAGAGGCTGAAAAGGAAAAGATAGCTGAGCAAGTGGCTGACTTCAAAAAAGTCAAGAGTAAGCTTGATGCAGAGATTGAAATATGGGATGATACCAGCAATGACATCATTGTTTTGGCCAAGAGGATGTGTGTGATTATGATGGAGATGACTGACTTCACAAGGTAATTATGCAAAAAAAGCATCTTCATTATTTATGAATGTTGGAGGCCATTGTCATATTGGTATGGCAGGAAATACTGAGGTTTTAATGTCAGGTGACAGTATCTTTACAAAATTGAGCGGCTAAGCTAATGTAGTTAGCTTTACCACACTGGTGAGCAGTACTGAAATGTTGGAAGGGAGGTTTGAAGTTTTAAACTATGCTCTTCCTTATTTTTTTTCTTTGTCCTCTTTTATTCATTTGGTTGGGGTTTTTGCACGTTTTTAGCTCTTTATTTCTGCTCTTAATGAAAGGGGAAAAGTAACAAAATAATCTTGATTTTAAGCTGTAGCTCTGTCTCATGTGTTGTTCTTTCTACTTGTACCATACCATGCTGTCAAGCATAAAACATCCTGTACAGAGCGTATGTCTGGCAGTACACATTCAGACTCATGCATATTTTATATCACATTATTTGCTGTTGGTTTCATTGGAACTGTATCATGCTGTTGTATGTAGTTATAAAGAATGAAGTGTCCTATAGCAGACAGCTTTCAAAGCTGGTATTTCTCTCTGGTGCTGGTATATGTTCTATGATACTTGCATATGGGAAACAATCTTAAGTTCAGGAGCTTTTTTTGCCATGCACTGAATAAATGTTCAGTAAATTTAATCAAATTAATTGTACCAAAGGGGGGGGGTACTGGTGTTTGAGGTTTTTGTCCATCTGGATACTAATAAAATGCTTGCCGATCGGTAAGTGAAGCCTTAAAACACAACCACTCTTGCAAGACACTTCACATCACATAAATTAAGTCCTTTCATGGAAGATATAAAGAAAAATACAAGCCTCTTGGACAAATTCTTCAGGTGTGTAAATTAAAGAGTTGCATGGAGCTGAACCAGCTAACAAAGCTGGGGTCTGTCTTAGGCCTGTTCTGGGGAAGACAGTTGTTGCATTTATCATTTAGCACTTTCCAAAGTCACCTTCATGTGAGAGAGATTTAAAGACCTGCATGTTGAACTCTGCAATCTTTTTAAGAGTATATGATTTGTATTGAGACTCCTGAAGAAGAACGTTCTGTGCCATAAAGTCAGTCTTTACAATTAAAGTCACCTCCCTCACCAAAGTTCTTTAAATTACTAGCTTTAGATTAATCAAGATTAACAAGGCCGGTTCATAGTTTTACATCGGTGGCGCTCAGTTGAACACAGCATAATCTGCAGTTTCGAGTTGGAAGAGCAGCTCTTGTCCAGTGTTGTTGATATCCAGAGAGTCCATGGAGAACTCTGAAATGACTGCAGTAAAATCATAGGATCGTAGAATACCAGCTTGGAAGGTACCTCAAGGATCATCTGGTCCTCTTGGCAAAAGCACAGTCTAGACAAGATGGCCCAGTACCCTGTCCAGCTGAATCTTAAAAGTGTCCAGTGTTGGAATCCACCACTTCCCTGGGGAGATTATTCCGGTGGCTGATCATTCTCACTGTGAGAAATATTCCTCCCGTGTCCAGTCAGAATCTCCCCAGGAATAAATTGTACCCGTTACCCTCTTGGGGTTTGATCTCTCCAGTCTGTAATTCTAAGTTCTTGGACATGGAAGAAATAAAAGATTCTGACATTTTGCATTTGTTACATCAGAAGCTACTCAGGCAAATAGTAAATTTCTGTATTTGAGTCACTTGTTACTTTAGCTGATTTCTGTTTTCCTTCAAATGTATTACCTCGCATTCATTTTTATTTAATCTCAATGAGTGCTTTCCAAAGCTTTAGTTTTTCAAGGTCATCTTGGCATCTTAGTGTGTTTGTGCATGTTTGTATTAACCTGAACTTCTGTGCAACAGTTACATATTAAACTAAAACCAGGTTAATGTTGGTATCAGAATAACTCACTATTCAGACAGAAGGTAATGGGAGTGATGATGGCATAAACTATCGATGCGTATGCCTCAGATAATTAACATAAATACTTAGGATGACTTCAGTGAAGGCCAGTGATAGGACTGAGGTAGAGTAACCATCTGAAGTAGCTTATGGCTTAGCTTCCTCACGTGATTATAGAGGCAGATGCCTCTGCTTTTTTTTTGTCTTCGCAGAAGGGACCTGCAGAACCTCATTTGAAACAATTCTTACCCTACTGAACATTCATGAGTGTCTCCCTACGGATAGACACTAGGCCAGGCTACTGTGATTTTATTTAACATATATTTTTCCAGCTTTCTTTAAACTTTGTATGTGCTACATGACATGAGCTTACTAAAACTTGATGATGAACCTTGCTGTGGTGAGCCATTCTATAAATCATTGTCATGGAAAACTTACTTATACTTGACAGATAGAAAAGGAATTGAGCAAGAGCAGAAATCTATTGTGGGAAGTTTGTAGCAGCTAGCAGCAGCTGCTAATGGGTGGTATGAACATGATAATCAGGCCTGTTTATGCAAACTGGTTGTATTGATTACTGGAATCTGTTAAAAATTCTGTAAAAACACCATCATGTTTGCAATAGTAAGCTTTGGCCCTGACAGGCAGAGGTGGAGGCGGTGAGCAAACAGGCATTTGCTCTGCTGAAAGCATGGTACCCTACCCCTGTTTGGACTCCACCAGACTTCTTGCAGAATAACATACGAAGTTCCTGCCAGTTTTATTCTGTTGGTTTGACGAAGGTGATTGCTGCTAGAAACGAGAGAATTTGGTAGAGGTTTCTTTCCTGAGTTTTACTTTGCTGAAAATGAACTGGTTTGTCTTAGTTTCTGGGGGTGGGGGCAGCTACAGTGCATAAGGCAAAAAGAATTGTGAAAAAGAGTGTGAAATTCTTCCTGTATTGCCGTTGCTTCAACAGCTAAGGCATTCAGCGAAGCTGAGAAACAAACAAGGTATCAGGGGATCTGCTGATGTTTTCTATCTGTCTTCAGCCTGTGGCTGCAGCCCCATTTCTGTCTTTCTCATGAAATACTATCTTGGCTTGGCTAGCTTCCCCTGTGGTTGACCAGAAACCTGTACTTCTCCCTCTGGCCTTATGCAGAAATGAACAAAGCCTGGCAGACAGTTCCCTTGTGCCTGTTGCTTATCATCCTCCTCTGAGTATGCTGGAGAGGTGCTTTGTCACTTCTCTGTTCATAGAGGCTAGGGGTTTTCAGAGCACCTTATTGGGTCAGGATCTATCCAAAGTGCATATCTGCATCTCCTTCGAATGCCTGCTGTGCAGACCTGTACCAAATCGGGTTTGTTTGTGTTTCTGATACCTTAGGGATTCACTCAAGATAGCAGGACATGCATAAATGGAGCAGGATTTTTCTTTCCTATTGCCACAGCAGATTTATAATTAAGAAGGTGTTTACCAATAAACAGACACAAATCCCCTTTTGCTCGTACAAAGGATTGTGTATCTAATTGAGGCAGTGCTTAGGATCAGAACACTGCAATTTTTAATTAATATTGAGAAAGTAGCAAGAAAAGTTCAGTGGTTTAAGCAGAAAAGGAAGTCTGTCATGAACTTGTTGAGACTAGTTCTAGCAGACAGCTTGACTGAGTCGTGCTTACCAAGGAAAGTTCCTTCGTAATAACAGAGAACTGCAGGGTGTCCTCACTGCAGGTTTTTCGTGGCGCTTTGCTGATAGGAAGGATACTGCCAGGTCTTCCAGTGAGATTTGGACATACAAGGCAGAGCTTGCTGACATGTCTGAGGTGATTTTAAAGATAAGTAAGTCAGGAGGAGACCAGCTCCAGTAACTGACTTCTGCTAGGCTGTTCCACAGCATGTCCTAATGGCACGCAGTCCATGGATTCAGGATTCACAGTGCCTGGGTGAAGTCTCTGTGACAGTCCCTTTCAGTTTTCTGTGGTATAAACTGTAAACGAGAATCATTGGGCTTTTACCCCTACATATTTTTTTTACCCCTGCCTATTTTGTAGGTTTGTTGAGATTCCAAATGGGGCCATATGAACACTTTTTTTAAATGCAACCTTAGCAAACTGCTCAGAAAATTTCTCATTTGCCTTTGATACTTGACATTTGTTTTTAAAATTGCATCAATATCAGATTTAATATTTGAAAAAATAGCAAAACAAATTAACAAGACTCAGAAAAATAAATCTAGCAAAGTCATCCCCCAAAAGCTGCCCTCCTTTATCCTTACAGTAAGCCTAAATATAATTCTCCTTATACATCTAATACTTCCAAGGACTGCAGCTTAGCCTAAAATTTTCTCTCTGTAGTACTCTTGGTTAAGACCAAATGGAGGTGCCCAATCTGTCAAGTCTCCTCACCTGATATTAGCCACAGTCTTCAGCCTTAATTCATCTGCTCTCCCTCATCTTCTTGTCTTTGCTTGGGAAAGCAAGAGGGGGGATCTAAAAAGAAGATGGCAAGTCAAGATGGCGGTTCTGCAGTTACTGGGATTTGAAGAGACCATGGGACAAAAAGATTATGATGGAAGAGGAGACAAGGGGGATTCTATTCCTATTCAAGTTTATCCATGAAGCTCCTCACCATAACTCACTATTTGATTTACCTTTCCTGATGTCCCTTTCCAGTTCAGAGTTATCCATGATTCTGCTAGTTTCCCTTCAGCAGCCAGGTGCTTCTGAAGTACTGTGGAGCTGTTCCATTAAACCCTTAAATCCACTGGCTTCCTTGCCTTTTTCTGGCCCCTCCTAGCCCTCAGATTTCGATCACTTCATCCAGCTCCTCTCACCCATCTGGAAATCACTCACATGTCCCAGCTCTCCTACTTAGTCTTCTCCCTTGTCACCAACCCAGTCTGTCACTGCCACAAAATATAACAGTACCTTTATTACTAAGAACCCTGAACTGTGCCATTCCATCCACAATTCAACTTCAGATACATGTAAAAGTTTCCCTTTCCCTCCCCTCATTGCTCATATCGCAAATTCATAGGTCAGCATTATTTCATTAAGCAGTCTGGGATGCTTTTGTAAAAGTTTTGTCAACAGTGATGTTCTCCAGCTGAGTCATCAGAAAGGACAGAGTTATTTTGGACAAAATTACTTTGGGCAAAG